GAATATGCAGAGCTTAGACAGGGAGGGCCTAAGAAACTGAATACTTGTTTGCATAAATACCACCTACCATCAAAACCGCTAAGATTTACTCTAAAATATGAGTTATTTCTGAATCATTGCCATCACTATTTCGTTCTGTCATTGAAACCTTTAGCCTGTGAAACGAGGATTCATTTTGTTTTCGACCACAAGGAAACAACCACGAGAAAGTGCATAAGCGATATTCCGAACTTCCACTATTTCTTGTTCTGTGGTGTTTTTATAGTGAGTATGATTATGTGCATTTCTTGATTGAATTTGAGTTGTTTTAGAATTGAACAACAACAACAACAACAACAAGAATCAAGCCTTATCTCAATAGGTGGGGTCAGCTGTATGAATCCTAGAACGCCACTGCGTTCTGTGTGAATTCTATGGCCTAGATAAAATGACGAGTTTGTAGTCGCAGTTCGAGCCAAGTATGTGATGTTGCTCTGTAAACTTAGATACATGTTACATAATATTATGCATTCTATATAAAATAGATTTCCTTGCAAGTTCAAATTTGCGGAAGAAAAAAAGTTACATAGATAAAGCTTTGTAATACAGACATTCGCTTTGACTTTTGTACTTGTGCTACCTGTATGACAGTATTGTACTATTGCAACTTCACGATCATATGCTCGTGGTGGTCATAAACCTTATAATCTCTTTGGAAATGGAAAACCTGGTGGCAAGGAATTTAGGGAAGCCTGGAAGAAAGAGATTGATGAAGATGATACTTTATGGACAAGGAGTGAAGATGAAAGTGACAATGAAAAGGATGAAAAGAGTCGTCTTGAAAAAGAGATTCAAAAAGTAAGATAGCAGGCGAGGGAGCACTCTGAACTGATTGACGCCAATGATAATGATGAGTTGAGAAGTGTTTGGTTTAGAAGTGACGAGGAGAAGTCTCTATGGACTAGGAGTGAAGATGATGATGACGACGATATTCCTACTGAAGCCTACCCAAATGAAAGTAGTGATAAACATATAGGCAAACTGTTTGAGTTTGAAGAAACATTTAAGTATCGGACAATTTCTGAATTATTAAAAGCTGAGCAGGAACCGGAGGAGTTGTCCCCTGGAAAACAAGCTAGGAAAATTGCAGTTGAGAATGTCATGAAAAAGTTGAAGAAAGGGCCAGATGGGCGATATATTAACGTGTAGGAGGTCATGAGTGACTTGGATATTTTGATAGGAGCATTTGAAAATATAGTTTCAGGGCCGGAATATGCAGAGCTTAGATAGGGATGGCCTAAGAAACTGAATATTCAGTTTTTCAAGGATATACAAATGCGTATGAGAGATCCTAATTATAAGTTCTCACCTGAGTTGAAGTTGAAACCAAAGAGCAAACTAGTTGCTAGAAATAAATGGCAGAAAGTACAATCTAGACGGAGGAAAGCACAAAAGCGCTAAGTGTATCCTCCTCGTTCTTCCTCTTTACTGTTTCAATCTGTCGAACTTGCAAACTATAACATGTTATATTGTATAAATGCTGGTATTATGTTGTGTGTTTCTTAGTACTATATATGTTCTACTTCTCTTTCGGGTTCTCGTCCGGTCGTACTTCTAATGAGATCACACACATGTTTGTAGTCCCATAGTTTTCTATGTCAAGTTTGCAGTTCCATAAAGATAAAATGATGTTAGGCTTGCTTCAAAAAAGAGGAAGGAAAATTTTAGCAATACCACTTGAATTTTACACAGTGTTATACTTGACAACTTAAATTTTGTTTTGTGACATTTGCCACCTAAACTAAACTTGTTTTCATAAATACCACCCACCGTCAAAACCGCTAAGATTTACTCTAAAATACGAGTTATGTCTGAATCATTGTCATCACTATTTCGTTATGTCATTGAAACCTTTAGCCTGGGGAATGAGGATTCATTCTGTTTTCGAAAACAAGGAAACAACCACGAGAAAGTGCATAAGCGATATTATGAAATTCCATTGTGTCCTGTTATGTGGCGTTTTTATATTGAGTATGATTATGTGCATTTCTTGATTGAATTTGAGTTGTTTTAGAATTGAACAACAACAACAACAACAACAAGAATCAAGCCTTATCTCAATAGGTGGGGTCAGCTGTATGAATCCTAGAACGCTACTGCGTTCTGTGTGAATTCTATGGCCCAGATAAAATGACGAGTTTGTAGTCGCAGTTCGAGCCAAATATGTGATGTTGCTCTGTAAACTTAGATACATGTTACATAATATTATGCATTCTATATAAAATAGATTTCCTTGCAAGTTCAAATTTGCAGAAAAAAGGTATATAGATAGAGCTTTATAACATATACATTCCCTCTAACTTTTGTACTTGTGCTACCTGTATAACTGTATTGTACTGTTGCATCTTCACGATCATATGCTTGTGGTGGTCATAAACCTTATGATCTTTTTGGAAATGGAAAACCTGGTGATAAGGAATTCAGGGAAGCCTGGAAAAAAGAGATTGATGAAGATGATACTTTATGGACAGGGAGTGAAGACGAAAGTGACAATGAAAAGGATGAAAAGAGTCGTCTTGAAAAAGAGATTCGAAAAGTAAGACACCAGGCAAAGGAGCACTCTGACCTGATTGATGCCGATGATAGTGATGAGTTGAGATGTGTTTGGTTTGGAAGCGACGAAGAGAAGTCTCTGTGGACTGGGAGTGAAGATGATGATGACGACGATATTCCTACTGAAGCCTACCCAAATGAAAGTAGCGATAAACATATAGACAAACTGTTTGAGATTGAAGAACCATCCAAGTATCGAACAATTTTTGAATTATTGAAAGCTGAGCAGGAACATGAGGAGTTGTCCCCTGGAAAGCAAGCTAGGAAAATTGCAGTTGAGAATGCCTTGAAAAAGTTGAAGAAGGGGTCAGATGGGCAATATATTAATGTGTGGGAGGTCATGAGTGACTTGGATATTCTGATAAGAGCATTTGAAAATATAATTTCAAGGTCGGAATATGCAGAGCTTAGACAGGAAGGGTTGTAGTTTTTCAAGGATATACAAACGCGTATGAGAGATCCAAATTATAAGTTCTCACCTGAGTTGAAGTTGAAACCAAAGAGCAAACTAGTTGCTAGAAAGAAATGGCAGAAGGTACAATCTAGATTGAGGAAAGCACAAAAGCGCTAAGTGTATCCTCCTCATTCTTCCTCTTTACTGTTTCAATATGCCAAACTTGCAAACTGTAACATGTTATATTGTAAAACTGTTGGTATTATGGTGTGTGTTTCTCAGTTCTATATATGTTCTACTTCTCTTTCGAATTCTCGTCCAATTGTACTTCTAATGAGATCAAACACATGTTTGCAGTCCCATAGTATTCTTTGTCAAGTTTGCAGTGCCATAAAGATAAAGTGATGTTAGGCTTGCTTCAAAATAGAGGAAGGAAAATTTTAGCAATACCACTTGAATTTTACAGGGTGTTATACTTGACCACTTAAATTTTGTTTTGTGACATTTGCCACCTAAACTAAACTTGTTTGCATAAATACCACTTACCGTCAAAACCACTAATATTTACTCTAAAATACAAGTTATGTCTAAATCATTGTCATCACTATTTCGTGTCAAATTATCACCTGAACTATTTTTTTTGTTTCATAGCCAGTTGAAATGTTTTTTTTCCCAAACTACCCTCTAAATCTAGTTGAATTGTCATGTCCTCATTCACTCGAGGCATTGAAAAGATAAAATTAAGTTAATTCATTCCTTAAAGCACAGTTACTTGACTGGAAGTCAGTGTTACTATTCTTTAAGGAGCAAATTGTTCACTTTCTAGTGCCTAATATTGGCACACTCATATTTAGACAAATCCCTTAACCTATTTCTACATCAAATTAAGACCATCTCCAACCCTTGGGCTAAAACTTAAAATTTTTAGCCCAAAAAATTTAGGTTTAGCCCAAAAACAATTTTTCTGCTCCAACTCTTCTGGCCTAAATTTTTTAGCCTGGAATTATTAAAGAATAAATTTAGGCTATTTTTTTCTTTTAAAGTAATTTAAAAAAATTATGTACACTATCATAATTTAATTTTATGAACGTTTTAACCTAAAAATATTTAAATTCCGATAAATATTGAAAAATCACTAAATTTGGATGAATTTTGAGTTAAATTATTTTTTAAATTATTTTAGCCGTTAGATTTAAATTTGGACCGTTAGATCTATTTTTACCGTTAGATTTAATTATATTCGATCTCAATCGTTGAATTCAATAAATCCTGGGAGACATGCCCATGGGCCATGTGGATGGGGTCTCGCTGGTGGTGTCCACACCATTTTCTGGGCAAAATCCTGGAGGGAATTTGATCTTTGTTTGGCTTTTAGCTTGTAGTCCACTCATTTAGCAAGGGTTGGGTTGGGAGGGGAATAAAACCTAAAAAATTGCATTTAGCCCAAGATTGGGTTTGGTCTAAGGGTTACCAAAATTCTCCTTCTACGGTTGAAGGTCAAAGGTCTAAATTTCAACTCAAATAAAATAAAGTTTAAGATGACACAAATGTATTATACGTAAAATATCGTTATTATGTGACCTAATTCAATCTCTTTTCCGTAGTTGATCTCTTATAAGTAAAATAACGGTTGATAAAAAAAGAGAACATTAAAAATGGAGTTTAAAAGAATCTGATTCTCTCCCCTCTCATCTCCCTCCCTTTGTGCACCCTCCTTATAATCGAGACCATTCAAACCAGATCCAATGGGTAAGAGCAATCCCTCCCTTTGTTTCTTACGTGGCACAATCTTGTGTTTTGATCGACTTGTAAATGTTTTGGACGGCTGTGGATGAAATGAGGGGCAGAGAATCGGGCATGAAATTGAGAGCACAAAAGAAAAATAAACTTTAGCGAAAAACTCTTTTGTATTATTTATTTTAATAAAAAATAATATATTTACATTAAAAAAATAAAATTTGATATTATTTATCTTATTTTTATCGTTAAAACTTAAAATTTGATTAGTCTCCTAAGAAAATAGGCCGAAGTAGAATTGCAAGAAGCGGATAAGCAGTGGTACACAGTCCCAAAGTTTGTACGAGGAGGCAAGTGAAATTGTGAGCATGAATTCGTCGCTGGTGTTTCGTCGCTTCTGGTGCTTCAGTGCCGCAACTTCATCATCTTCTTCTTCTTCTTCTTCTTCTTCTACTTTATGCTTCGCTTCCAACAAGAAGCCCCTCGTCTTCTTAGGCTTTCCTCAGGTGCTGCCTTCTCTCTCTCTCTCTCTCTCTCTCTCTCTCTCTCTCTCTATATATATATATATATATTTATTTATTTATACATTTGTGGTTATGAGGTGATGAAATGTCTACTGGTTTTGAAGGTGTTAGCAACTGTTCTGGATGCCCTTCTCAATGCATCCACTGCCGCAGACTCACTCTTTGAGGTATTCAATGGATGCCCTTCTCCATGCTTTCAACTTTACCTCAAATGGGTTTTCTTTTCTGGCTTCTTCTTCTTTCTTTTTTTATTTAATTTTTTTATTTGTTTTCAATTTTTAATTTTGGGTTTTCTTCACTTTATGATGCCATTAGAATTCCACAATTTGATTGTTTTTTAGTCTGGTTTATTGGGTTACATAATTTAGTGATGTGAAATGCCTTTTAAGCACATGATGTCCAAGAAGCGTTCGTGCCGGATTGAATTGTGAATGGGGTTAATTTCTGGTGTTGTGGAATTTAGACAGTCAGTGGACTTATCATTTAGCTGGTTGTGTTGTGTTGTGTTTCGGTCATTGCTTTCTCTTGTGTTGCGACGTCTTAAAGGTTCAATTGGATTAGTTTTATGCCAAACTAGTCGAACCTAGGCTTATTGCATATGAGCTTACTAATATTTTATATTGGTTTTATGTCAAACTTGTTTTCGTATTTACTCTTTTTTGGGGGGGAAGATAGTAGGGACTGACGTAGGCCAGGAAAATTGGTGATGCATACTTTCGCTATTGATATAGTGTAAAAATACAGAGTCATTGCTTGGATTATGAATGAATAATTTGCTCTGATTTAGATTGCAGCTATTGTTACTCAGCCCCCATCCAGAAAGTCTAGGGGGAAAAAGTTGATGCCTTCTCCTTTAGCACAGCATGCTCTTGACAGAGGCTTCCCTTCAAACCTTATTTTCACACCTGAACGGGCTGGAGAGGTAATTTTCTATCATCTTTTTGTAGGAAATGATTTCTCTATTTATTCCTTATGAGTAATCCATGTAGTGGCTAGAGATGTGCTTATGAGCACCATGGAGTTATCGGTAGAAATCTCTGATATTGGGTGCGACACATTCTGTGGAGCTGCAATTTAGGTTTTCTTATGCCGAAGGTCATGCACATTAGAAATAACCCAATAGTGCTGCAAAATGGGTTTCCATATATTCCCAGTGTTCATTAGATTATTGTCTCTCAAAGATTTTGATAGTGTTAGGAGTGAATTTAGATGAAGAGGGTTCATTTTTATTAATGTTCGTGCAGGATGTGTTTTTGTCCGACTTAAGAGCTTTGCAGCCACAACTTCGCATCACTGCTGCTTATGGGAACATTTTACCTACCAAGTTTCTCAATATCCCAACATTGGGTTAGTCGAATGAATTTCCCTGGCGAAAGTGAATTCTTGTTCTCTGCTGCATATTAATTTTCCATGCACTTTTCTGCATTTGACTTTGGAATCAGATGGGTATAATCTCAGCACGGTTACTTGGAATGGGGAATTGTTGCCATTTGTCCTCATTCCAACGTTTATTTAGAATAGAAAGAATTAAGAAGAAACGAAAAACATCTTAACAGAAACCAACCTTATTCTCATTGCAATCCAGACGATGGATGAGAGTTGCTCATTCCGATTCCTTCAATTTGGGTAATCCTCTCAATGCTTCAAATATGAGACGCCCTATCCAGCTAGTAGTCATGTACCAAGGGTAAATCAGTGATATGGAGGCATGAGACTAGTAATTGAACTCGAAATGTTTCTTGGCTCTTAGAGCTTGCCTTTTAAGGGATATTCCACACTTATTAGATTATTCAGTATCTGTACCTGGGATATTTAAGTTAACTTTTGAGGGGGAGGAAGGTTGGCAGATGAACTTTGTTCCTAATAATTTGGTTAGCAGATCAAGATTTTTTTTCTGCATTCATTTTAAACCTTTTCGAGATAATTGGTGGTCTGAAGATCATAATAGATGGTTAATGATTATTTACTGCAGTGTATGCTAATAATTTGGTTAGCAGTTCAAGCCAAGTATGTTGCTCTGTAAACTAATATACATGTTACATAATATGATGCATTCTATATAAAATAGGTTTCCTTGCAAGTTCAGATTTGCAGAAAAAGGTGTATAAATAGACGTGCATTTTCCCTTTGACTTTTGTACTTGTGCCCTGTATGACTGTTTCGAACTGTTGCAGCGTCACGATCATATGCTCGTGGTGGTCATAAACCTTATGATCTCTTTGGAAATGGAAAACCTGGTGACAAGGAATTCAGGGAAGCCTGGAAGAAAGAGATTGATGAAGATGATACTTTATGGACAGGTAGTGAAGACGAAAGTGACAATGAAAAGGATGAAAAGAGTCGTCTTGAAAAAGAGATTCGAAAAGTAAGACAACAGGCGAGGGAGCACTCTGACCTAATTGATGCCGATGATAGTGATGAGTTGAGAAGTGTTTGGTCTGGAAGCGACGAGGAGAAGTCTCTGTGGACTGGGAGTGAAGATGATGATGACGACGATATTCCTATTGAAGCCTACCCAAATGAAAGTAGTGATAAACATATAGACAAACTATTTGAGTTTGAAGAAACATCAAAGTATCGGACAATTTCTGAATTATTGAAAGCTGAGCAGGAACCAGAGGAGTTGTCCCCTGGAAAGCAAGCTAGGAAAATTGCAGTTGAGAATGCCTTGAAAAAGTTGAAGAAAGGGCCAGACGGGCGTTATATTAACGTGTGGGAGGTCATGAGTGACTTGGATATTTTGGTAGGAGCATTTGAAAATATAGTATCAGGGCCGGAATATGCAGAGCTTAGACAGGGAGGGCCTAAGAAACTGAATATGCAGTTTTTCAAGGATATACAAACGCGTATGAGAGATCCTAATTATAAGTTCTCACCTGAGTTGAAGTTGAAACCAAAGAGCAAACTAGTTGCTAGAAAGAAATGGCAAAAAGTACAATCTAGACGGAGGAAAGCACAAAAGCGCTAAGTATATCGTCCTAATTCTTTCTCTTTACTGTTTCAATCTGTCGAACTTGCAAACTATGTCATGTTATATTGTATAAATGCTGGTATTATGGTGTGTGTTTCTCAGTATTATATATGTTCTATTTCTCTTTCGGGTTCTCATCTAGTTGTACTTCTAATGAAATCACACACATGTTTGCAGTCCCATAGTTTTCTATGTCCAGTTTGCAGTGCCATAAAGATAAAGTGATGTTAGGCTTGCTTCAAAAAAGAGGAAGGAAAATTTTAGCAATACCACTTGAATTTAGACAGTGTTCTACTCGACCACTGAAATTTTGTTTTGTGATATTTGCCACCTAAACTAAACTTGTTTGCATAAATACCACCTACCGTCAAAACCATTAAGATTTACTCTAAAATTTGAGTTATGTCTGAATCATTGTCATCACTATTTCGTGTCAAATTATCACCTGAACATATTTTGTTTCATATAGCCACTTGAATTATTTTTTTTACCAAATTACCCTCTAAATCTAGTTGAATTGTCAAGCCCTCATTCACTAGAGGCATTGAAAAGATAAAATTAAGTTAATTCATTCATTGGAGCACAATTACTTGATTGGTTTCTAGTGCCGAATAGTGGCACACTCGTATTTAGACAAATCCCTTAACCTATTTCTACATCAAATTAAGTAAATAATATAAGGGTTACCAAAACTCTCCTTAAATCAGAGATCAAAATTTCAACTTAAATAAAATAGAGTTTTAAGATAACACAAATGTATTATATTTTAAATATCGCTATTATGTGGCCTAATTCAACCTCTTTTCCGTAGATGGCCTCTTATAAGTAAAATAACGTTCGATCAAAAAAGAGAACATTAAAATGGAGCTTGAGAAGACTCGGATTCTCTCCCTCCTATCTCCCTCCTTATAATCGGGACCATTCAAACCAGATCCGATGGGTAAAAGCTATGCAACCTCCTACAACCCCAATTATATTCCCCTCTACTTCTCTCCCCCCGTCGTCTCCAACATTTGCCTCCATCACTAATGCCATGGCTGCAATCAATCCAGTCGGTGTCGAAATAGCTTCTTGTCCTCTTTCTCAAGCCTCGAGGCCTACCTCCGATCCATGGCTCACATACCTTCCCGCCTCGGTCACCAGGCCAATTCCGTCTCCGATGACGAAATGAGCGCCGTCCGAGCTCGCTCCGGCTCCCACATGCAGAAGAGGCTCCACTGGTTCGACCTCATCGTATTGGGCCTCGGCAGCACCGTGGTTGATGGCGCCTTTGTGGACTATCTTATTTCAGCGCCTCATTTGTTTCTTACGTGGCACAATCTTGTGTTTTGATCGACTTGTAAATGCTTTGGACGGCTGTGGATGAAGGGAGGGCACAGGAGGGGAGAGAAAGAGGAGGGGAGAGAATCGGGCACAAAAGAAAATAAGCCGAAGTTAGAATTGCAAGAAGCGGATAAGCAGAAGTACATATAGTTCCAAAGCTCTCTCAGTTGGTAGGTTTGTACGAGGAGGCAAGTGAAATTGTGAGCATGAATTCGTCGCTGGTGTTTCGTCGCTTCTGGTGCTTCAGTGCCGCAACTTCATCTTCATCTTCTTCTTCTTCTACCTTATGCTTCGCTTCCAACAAGAAGCCCCTCGTCTTCTTAGGCTCTCCTCAGGTGCTGCCTTTTCTCTCTCTCTCTCTCTCTCTCTCTCTCTATATATATATATATATATTTATACATTTGTGGTTATGAGGTGATGAAATGTCTACTGGTTTTGAAGGTGTCATCAACTGTTCTGGATGCCCTTCTCAATGCATCCACTGCCGCAGACTCACTCTTTGAGGTATTCAATGGATGCCCTTCTCCATGCCTTCAACTTTACCTCAAACGGGTTTTCTTTTCTGGCTTCTTCCTTCTTTATTTTTCATTTTTTCATTTTGGGTTTTCTTCACTTTATGATGCCATTAGAATTCCACAATTTGATTGTTTTTGAGTTTGGTTTATTGGGTTACATAGTTTAGTGATGTTACATGCCTATTAAGCACATTATGTCCAAGAAGCGTTCGTGCCGGATTGAATTGTGAATGGGGTTAATTTCTGGTGCTGTGGAATTTAGATAGTCAGTAGACATATCATTTAGCTGGTTGTGTTGTGTTTCGGTCATTGCTTTCTCTTGTGTTGCAGCATCATAAGGCATCTTAAAGGTTCAATTGGATTAGTTTTATGCCAAACTTGTCGAACCTAGGCTTATTGCATATGAGCTGACTAATATTTCATATCAGTTTTATGTCAAACTTGTTTTCATATTTACTCTTTTTTTTCGGGGGAAGATAGTAGGGACTGACGTAGGCCAAGAAAAATGGTGATGCATACTTTCGCTATTGATATAGTGTAAAAATACAGAGTCATTGCTTGGATTATGAATGAATAATTTGCTCTGATTTAGGTTGCAGCTATTGTTACACAGCCACCATCCAGAAAGTCTAGGGGGAAAAAGTTGATGCCTTCTCCTTTAGCACAGCATGCTCTTGACAGAGGCTTCCCTTCAAACCTTATTTTCACACCTGAACGGGCTGGAGAGGTAATTTTCTATCATATTTTTGTAGGAAATGATTTCTTTATTTATTCCTTACGGGTAATCCATGTAGTGACTAGAGATGTGCTTATGAGCACCATGGAGTTATCTGTAGAAATCTCCGATATTGGGTACTACACCTTCTGTAGAGCTGCATTTTAGGTTTTCTTATGCCAAAGGTCATGTGCATTAGAAACAACCCAATACTGCTTCTTATTGCTCTATATGATTAAAATGGGTTTCCATATATTCCCAGTGCTCATTAGATTATTGTCTCTCAAAGATTTTGATAGTGTTAGGAGTGAATTTAGATGAAGAGGGTTCATTTTTATTAATGTTTGTGCAGGAAGTGTTTTTGTCCGACTTAAGAGCTTTGCAGCCACAACTTTGCATCACTGCTGCTTATGGGAACATTTTACCTACCAAGTTTCTCAATATCCCAACATTGGGTTAGTCGAATGAATTTCCCTGACAAAAGTGAATTCTTGTTCTCTGCTGCATATCAATTTTCCATGCACTTTTCTGCATTTGACTTTGGAATCAGATGGGTATAATCTCAGCACGGTTACTTGGAATGGGGAATTGTTGCCATTTGTCCCCATTCCAACATTTATTTAGAATAGAAAGAATTAAGAAGAAACGAAAAACATCTTAACAGAAACCAACCTTATTCTCATTGCAATCCAGACGATGAATGAGAGTTGCTCATTCTGATTCCTTCAATTTGGGTAATCCTCTCAATGCTTCAAATATGAGACGCCCTGTCCAGCTAGTAGTCATGTACCAAGGGTAAATCAGTGATATGGAGGCATGAGACTAGTAATTGAACTCGAAATGTTTCTTGGCTCTTAGAGCTTGCCTTTTAAGGGATATTGCACACTTATTAGATTATTCAGTATCTGTACCTGGGATATTTAAGTTAACTTTTGAGGGGGAGGAAGGTTGGCAGATGAACTTTGTTCCTAATAATTTGGTTAGCAGATCAAGATTTTTTTTTTCTGCATTCATTTTAAACCTTTTCGAGACAATTGGTGGTCTAAAGATCATAATAGATGGTTAATGATTATTTACTGCAGTGTATGCTTTAATTCCACCATGCTTGTTTTTACTTTGATACGGCATCTTTTATTCACAATGTGAACTCGCGAGTTGCATATCTTGAGTGAGCATAAATGAATTTCTAAATTTGAGATTGCTATCTTCAAACCTAATCAGCTGGTAGCATTATTTCTCAATCCAAAGTGACAATTTTCTCAGGTACGGTCAATATACACCCAAGTTTGCTTCCATTGTATCGTGGAGCTGCACCTGTTCAAAGAGCCTTGCAGGTTTTTAGGTTTTGATGTTCCCTATCTCATAGGCTATAAAGTATTGCATGTGTTTTATAGTCACATTTATTATATCTGAATAAGAAGTTCTACATTTTCTTGTTTGAATTAGGATGGTGTTAATGAAACAGGAGTATCCTTAGCGTTCACTGTTCGTGCACTGGATGCTGGGCCTGTCATTGCCTGTGAAAGAATGGAAATTGATGATCAAATTAAGGTATGAATGATGCTTATCTAGTGAAGTTATGGATGCAAAAGTTTTAGGACCCATCTCATCTGTGTTATTTTTGGGTCAAAGTCAGTAATGATTTGTCAGGACAGATGAAGTAGTAAGTTAGCAACTAACATGCCTTAGGTACAACATCTTCTCCTATCAAAGAAATAAAAAATGTACCAGATTTTTAATACACAATGGTTTATGTACACGTTCTATATATCTATGTACCCACAAGTAAACTACATTCCTGGTAAAAAAGAAGAGCAAAAAAAGTTGATCTTCATGCGTAACGATGTTGATGTTTTGATGTTCATCTGAGCTGTTTTATTTCTGGGTTTGAGTCAGTAACAATTTGTCTGGATCAAGTAGTATCTGACATCCTTGAGGTGCAAGGTCCATGGTATGTGATGGTTTGTATGTACATGTGTATCTTGGGGCCTACAAGTTAATAGCACTTCCCCACCAAATAGGGAGGAAAAAGGTTAATCTTAGTGAGTGCAATATGAGTGGATGCACACCCATGCACACGCATAGTTGCAAACTTCAATAGTAACAGTGAGAGTACATTGGAAACATTTCTTTTGGTTAGGGAGATTTTTTGCGGCCATAAATTGAGTTTATATTTTGGGGAAATATGAAACTTTTAGGTGTATTAAAGCCTAGTTCAAGACTAATTTCATCTTCCCTATTGAGCCTAGTTTCAGGGTTGCTGCCATTTTCAACGCATTTTTTTTTAGTAAATGTTTATTCTGGTTCTCATGCAGGCACCGGATCTACTTGCACTACTATTTAATGAAGGTGTGCTTTGTTCCTTTTACTCCCCCTTTTTCTGATATGTTCTATAGTTTTAATTTCGGTTTTGCTAATTATAGTTTATAACTTACTTATACTTTAGTTTAATACTGCAGTCTAATCTATTGGTGCTTAGAGTTCAGTGGCAGAATATAAATTACTAAGCTATCAAGCTGAGAATCTTATTTGACATTAAGCATTATACATTTCCTTAAGTCTTCCTGAAACATGGTGTTTAGTCCTTGGCATATATTGTTTTCTCATGTGTCATTATCCTGTACATATTCTGTGAGCAGTTACCTGTGCGAATTGGTTTTAGTCGGATCTACGCCAGTGCAGCCATATTTACCAATTTAGTGCAGCTTTGGTTCAACTACACTTCACTGATGTAACCTACTGTTATACTTTGCAGGATCTAAACTATTGATCAACGAGCTTCCTTCTATATTTGATGGGTCAGCTAAGGTGAAAGCACGTCCCCAGGATGACTCTAAAGCTACCTTAGCTCCCAAGGTAGACATTGCAGTTGAAGTGACTTCTATGCTACGACACAATGGGGACCAGATATGTTTTCTAGGGTTGCCTTTGATTTTAATTTTGAGTTCATTTGTGTTTTGCATAGATTGCTCAGGAAGAATCGTGGCTGTCCTTTGATCAGGAGGCTTCAGTTCTACATAATAAGGTATGCTCTCTTCTTTTGCCTCATATTGGATAACGGAGTCATGAATCACAACCCCTACAGATTCGTGCATTTGCAGGGTGGCCTGGAACTCGAGCTAAAGTTGTAATTATTGACAACAAAACTGGTCAAGAGAATATCATGGAATTCAAAATTATGACAACTAAAGTCTGCAGCCAGAGCAATGTTCAGGTCAACCAAGCGGATGAAATCACCTTTATAAAGCCTGCATTAGTATTTCCCTGTGGATGGGGCACAGCGCTTGAGGTACCTCCTGTCTCTGTCAGCTTCTGTTATTGTCTAGTCTTGCTGCTACTGCTAGCTTAGCGGTTATAACGCAGAGCTCATGCATTTTCATTTCCTGACATTATTTCTCTGTGAGCTATAAATTTGTTGTCTTTTATTTCTGCAAGTCATTGGCCAAAATTATGATCAAACAACTTCTATCCCAATAGCCCTTTAAGTCCTCCCCCCTCCCTAAACATTCAAAGTATGGGATCAACAATCTAACTGACCGTATTGCTACGCTCCTCGTATTTACTTACCAAATCTAGATTTTTCCAAAGCTACGCACACTTTGTCCCTCTCTTTCTTTCTAACAAATTAAATGCTGATGCGTACTAACACCTCATTTGGCGAGTCTAATTTAATTTTACTGTCTTCAATCTAAATACATATTGGAAAAGGTATGTATAGGATGATACATTTGGTCCGTCAATTCTCAAACTGAATGTATGCTTTTGACAACGTATTTAGGTATTGGAGGTTCAGATTCCGGGTAAGAAGGCAATAAGTGCAGCTGCCTTCTGGAATGGTTTGCGTGGTCAAAAACTGAAGATATACCGTGCTTCCAATGTAAACGGTAATTCTAGTTAGTTTAAAGGTTTGAGCAATTTTGTTGGGTAGCATTGTTTCATCATCAGTATTTCTTTTTATACACCCCCATTCTTTTAATTAATTTTATTGGAAATACATGTGATATTTATTGGAATTCTTCCTGTATTGATCTCTAAGGTACAAAGATACCAATTTGATTTAGTGAAATCAAAATATGGACAAGTAGAACAAGATTTCCATTGGTTTGTATCGAAATGTTGGTAATTTTTTTTTTATTAAATGATAAACATAACGGGAATTGATTTACAATCATGTCTGTTGTTTTTGTTTGATTTATTCAATTCGACAGCTAGAATAAAGAGGAGTGTGTGTGTGAAAATCACCTCTGTAAGATAATACTAAAAGAAAACAACACTATCAATTACATTTGGTCGCATAAATTCAAGTGACATGTTGCCAACCACGTTGCCGAAAATTCTTCAACGCCAAAAGAAAGCGTTTCTGCTGCAACCATTGTACTTGAGGAGCAATGAACGTTTCCTAGTTAGCTCGATGAAGTGCCTTACTCATGGCAGAAACCCAAACGTCATCACTTGTCACTGACATACGCAGCACTGAGTTTTCTGCCACTGCGAGGGCGTCGGCTGCAGTTGCTGGGCTGGGTCTTGGGTGGAGCTGTTCCCTTCCCTGCACAACTCCTTTTCTCGTCCTGTAATTTTGGATAGATTATTCCATGATCCATTAGAAGCCATTATTCCGGGTTCTTTTTCTAAATAAATAATAAATTTAAAGCAAAGCCACAGTCCATGTTTTGATACCCTCCATACTGAATAATACAGGTGCAAGTACTTTTGAAAAATTCCGATTGAAGTCCTCTGCATAAATTGAGATAATTGGAGCAATGATCCTTCAATTTTAGATCAATTGGAACTTTGGTTTCTAAACTAAATATTTGTGAATATTGTTCCCTCAACTTGTAATAATGTTGAGCAATGGTCCTTTTAGCTATCTCTATTGAACTTTCACATTTTTTTTGGCCCCCTTAAACCCTTTATTTTGGATGGAAGTTCTTATAGAGTTAGCCAAATGACCATTGTTGTACATTATAACAAGTTCAGGAACCAGCACTCACAGTTAATTCATAGACAAAAGCTCTAATTGAGCCAAAGTTCAGAGATCATTGCTCCAATTTTCTCGCATAAGTTTGTCAATGTTATGATATTTACAAGTGTTGGAAAATATAAGGCCTAATTGTGAGAGACCTTCTCTCTACTTGTGAGAGTATATCCCACGGTTGCGTGGGGGTTTTCGACCCTAATCACATCCAGTGGTGCTGACTCTAGCTTTGGCTGGGGTTGGTGGACGATCTCCCTTTTCTTTCTTTGTGTCCTAATTTCCCCTTTTATGCTGCTTTTTCCCTGCTCTCCATCTCGATTTGTTCTCCTTTTTTTTCCTCATTGGCGTCTCTCCTCCTCATTCATCTAAGCTGTGATCTTCAATCATACTTTCCATGGGGATTGTGCGTAGCGTTTTGGTGCTTCAACCACACCACCACCTTCTCTCTATTGTCTATCATTTCTAACAGTGTTGCTCATGGTTTTCCATAGGCTTCTTTTTCTTAAGAGGTGACCCATTTCATTCCGTTGTTGGTTATTTTTACTTTTGTGGCTGTGCTCGGGGAACTATTTGGGGTTGGATGATGAGTTTGGCAAGGTGATATTCGGTTGTGGGCGTGGATTTGTGCAGGTTAAGATGCACTGTTCCAGCGGAGGTAGTAGCAGCAGATTTAGTTTGTTAGTTTGTATCTTTGTAGTTAGGAATGAATTTTCCTTGACCAAGAAAAAAGTGTTGGAAAATATTTATATTTGGGTTAATTTTATCATTTGGGTTTTGGGCCCAGCCTGTTAGAATTAGGTTTTCATTTTCTTACTTATTAAGGGTTAGAGTTAGTTTATTATAGATATGATGTTTTGGTATTTAGTTGAGAACAAGTTAGTCAAGATGTAGTCTTCAGTTTGTAGCCGCCTCAACATTCTTGTTTATTTGTTTTCCATCAATAATATTCGTAGTTTCATAAATTATATGTTCTTCCGTTAGGTATTATGTTTTTCAACTAAAAGTACTTTATGAATTTCTTGCTAAACTCAATGATATATTTGATAGAGTTCGAAGTGGTCTCCTTCGAACAAAGCCACTTTCTGGTGTTGAATAATGCTTTAACAACATTCGTCATGACTCAGGAGAAAAGAATACACAATTGAATTGACCCAAATTAATACAAACAAAGGTTAAGGCTAAGAAGGAATGTTGTAAAGCCTTATATAAGGATAGGACCGAAGAAAATGGTGAAAGGTATAGAATAGAGAAAAAGGAGGCGAATAAAGCTGTGAGAGAAGCTAAGCTAGCGGCTTTTGACGATATGTATAAGAGACTAGATACCAAAGAAGGAGAGTTGAATATCTATAAACTAGCTAGAGTAAGGGAAAAGAAGACAAGGGACCTAAACCAAGTGAGGTACATCAAGGATGTGAATGGAAAGGTTCTTGCTACAGAGAACGTAGTCAAAGACAGATGGAGAGGTTGTTTTCATAATCTTTTCAATGAAGGACATGAAAATAGTACTTCTTCAGGGGAGTTGAGTAACTCAGAAAAGTGTAGAAACTACTACTTTTACTGCCGAATTAGGAAGGAAGAAGTGGTTGTAGCTTTGAAAAAGATGAAGCATAAAAAAGCAGTGGGCCTAGATGATATACCGATCGAAGTGTGGAAAATCTTGGGATAGACGGGTATAGCATGGCTCACAGACCTTTTCAATATGATTTTGAAAATGAAGAAGATGCCAAATGAGTGGCGAAAAAGCACTTTGGTGCCTATTTACAAGAATAAGGGTGACATACAAAATTGTATGAACTATAGAGGTATTAAGTTAATGAGTTACACAATGAAGCTTTGGGAGAGAGTAATTGAGCATAGACTAAGGTAAGAGAAACGGGTCTCAGATAACCAATTCGAGTTCATGCCAGGGCGCTCAAACATTGAGGCTTTATCTCTTACGAAGATTGATGGAAAGTGTTGAAAAAACGCCCACTAGACCTTGTTCTTTAATGTAACCAACGACAATAGACTAAAACTTAGCAAAATAGAGAAAATTAGAAAACACACAAGACTTATACTAGTTTGGCATAACTTTTGCCTACGTCCAGTTGTGATTTCTCTAGGCAGAGAAATCAACACTCATTTGATTAATAATAGAGATTACATAACTTTTGCACACCCTAAAACTAATCTCTCACTTGTCTCGGCTGTCACAGTTTTTCTCTCTCTGAAATTTAAGCCTTGCTGCATCCTATTTATAGGCATAGGGTGCAGTTTACATGTCATTTACAGATTATCATTCTTATTCTAAGTGGAATAGGAAATTAGACTTCCTTTCCAATTCTAAATAGACTTCTAGGATTTCTAAACTAAATTGAATAAGGAAACTAAGATTTTTTCCTAACCCTTCTAGAAGAAGAATCAGTGCACCTTTTTTCCCCCTAAAACAATCCTAAACAGAAAAAGGTCACTAATTGACGCAACAAAACCTAACAATCTCCACCTTGGTGAGTCAAACCAAGTCTTGATCGTTGCACCCCAGAGTATCTTTGAACCTTCTTGAAGCAGCTCTAGAAATCTTCAAGAGTCTTCACCTTGGCAATCTTATTCTTGCCTCATTGCACCTCAAGTGAAGAGGTGTTCCACTTTAATCAATCAATGAGATTGATCAAGTTCAAGCAATGCTTGAACTTCTTGGCTGGCACTATCTTAGTAAGGAAATATGTGGCATTGTCATCTATATGAATTTTTTCAATCCAAATGTCCTTAGACTCCACCCAATCTCTGATTTTGTGATACATTGCTTCAATGTGCTTTGATCTTCCAAAAAAAACCTGATTCTTTGCCAAGTGAATAACACTTTGACTATCACATTTCAGCTTCCCACAATCTTTGAATGATTCCCATTTGACTTACCAAGCCACTAAGCCAAATTGCTTCCTTTCCAACTTCGGCCAAAACAATATATTATGCCCCTGTGGTCGATAAAGCTATAATTGGTTGCAGTAGTGCCCTCCAACTGATTGGTCCTTCTGCGCATGTAAACACATAACCAGAAGTTGACCTTCTCTTGTCCAAGTCCCCTGCATAATCGGCATCCACATATCCCTTGTCACCAATAACCCTTCAAATAATGCAAAATCCACTTGACTGCATCCCAATGTTGCTTTCCTAGACTTGCCATGTATCCGGAAATGACATTGATTGCTTGAGCTATGTCGGGACGTGTACATACCATTGCATACATAAGGCAGCCCACGACATTAGCATAAGGCACATTCTCCATTACTTGTTGCTCTTCCTCGGACTTAGGACACTGTTGCCCACTTAACCTGAAGTGAGCCACCAAAGGAGTCAAAACTACATTTACTTCTTGCATGTTGAACTTCTCAAGAACCTTCTGAATATACTTGGCTTGTGATATCTAGATCATTTCAGCGGTCCTATCTCTCTGAATTTTCATGCCAAGGATCTTCTGTTCAGCACCTAGATCCTTCATGTCAAACTCCTCACTCAACATCTTCTTCAAGTCTTGAATTCTAGACTTGTATTGACAAGCAATTAGCATGTAATCCACATATAGCAATAGCAATATGATCATGCCGTCTTGGAACACATGATAGTACATACAACAGTCATATAAATAACTTCTAAAATTGATTTTTAGCATAAAGGAATCAAATCTCTTGTACCACTACCTTGGAGACTGTTTCAAGACATATAGGGATTTCCTTAGCTGACATACTAAGTTCTCTTTCCTATATTCAACAAACCCTTCTGGGTGAGCCATGAAAATCGTCTCCTCTAGATCCCCATGAAGAAACACTATCTTCACATCCATCTGCTCAATCTCCATGTTATGCTGAGCTGCCATTGATAAAAGCAATCTAATAGAAGTATGTTTGACTACAGGTGAAAAGATTTCATCATAATCCACCCATTCCTTTTGTGAGTACCCCTTAGCCACGAGCCTTGCTTTAAATCTCACAACATCTTGTTCATGTAGTCATTCTTTTTTCCTATATACCCACTTGCATCCAATTAGCTTTCTATCTTTGGGCTTAGGAACCAACTCCCAAACACAGTTCTTGTAAAGAGACTCTATTTCTTCTGTCATAGCACTTATCCAACTATCTTGCTCATCACTTGCTATAGCTTCTTGACAAGTAGTCAGATCTCATTAACTAATGTTAAGAGCATAATTAACTTCATCT